AGAGGCAGGTGTGCAAATAATGTGCTATTTTGGGACTGTGTCCCTGCTAGCTGTTATAGCTCTCACAGGCTGCAAGGTGCTGTGTGCAGTCTGACATTTGCTAGTCAGTCAGAGCTTAGGGTTAATGATGCTCTGAAAAGATTAAACATGCACTTTCTAAAAAATTTTCATTTAAATGGATGTTAGCCACAGCCTGGCCTTGTTTAGTTCAGAATGTGAATAGGTTTGAATGTATTTGTTTTTCTTTGGGTATCAAAATACAGAGGTTATTGCATCTGGACACATTAGTGACATTCAGTTGCTTCCTGATAACTGCTCCATTAATGTCTGTCAGCATGGCACCTTCTCTGCCCATAACCTCCTCGCAGACAAAACAGCTTTCCTAGCAGAGTGGAGATACTTAAAAAAATGCTTGCACAAAAAAAAAAAAAAAAAAAAAAGGCAAAATGTCAAGATGTTCCCAGATGACATGCCCTGATAGATTAATGACGCAGTAGTAGCTATGAAGAAATGCAGATGTGACAGGTGGCTGACAGTTACGTACTTTATCTATAATCCCTCTGAACTAGTGGCAGGCACCTTCTTAAAGATAGTGATTACCATGAGAAACCTGTCCCAAAATGTGGTATTTGCAGTAACTGCCATAAAATGATATGTGGGATGCTGGGATCCTTTCTTTTAGTTTCAGAGGACAAATACTGTAGGTCAAGACTTGCAGAATAGTAATAACAGATTAATATAATAGTAAACCAGACCAGAGAGTCTGAACAAAATAGACTCTAGAGCCTGGAGCTGATTTGCTGCATTAAATGGGCAAAGTGCATTTGCTAAACCATTTGGTAAAATGGGCTGAGGCAGCCGTTTGAGCTCAAGTAAACCAGGGAGAAGTTGCCTTTGGGTGGCTGAAGGGCTGGCTCAAAACCAGCTATTTGGACTGGGCTTCTCTGCCTAGTATATGGACATATTGCTCCCTGGGCATCCTTCTGCAGAGATACTGCTGTGACTCTGGGCCTCATCTCCAGAAATAAACATCACATTACTGGTATCAAGATGGTAGCCACCTTCTGGACGTGCGGCCATTATTCTTCTTGCATCACAGAAGTGATATATCCAGTGTAAAATAAATATATAAATAAATAAAGTTGCTAACAAAAATGTTTTTGCCTGAATAATTAATTCCTCAGCAAGTTTTCCCATAATAAAACATGTCCTAATGAGCTACCAGGAGGAGAGGAAATTCATCACTTACCTCACAAATATCAACTTGAGAGCACTGCTCATGTCAGATGGCATAATTAATGACTTGAGAGGGAGCATGGAGCAGCACAGCCAAAACCACAGTCCCCATCAGTCATTCCACATCAGTCCAACTCATACAGTGTTACTTGATCTACAGAGGGTTAGCCAGGCGACTAGAAGGAGATATGAGACTGAAGGGAATACAGGCAAACACGACACATCTGATCTTGATTTATCCAGATTGGTTTTCTGCTTATCACTGAGGTACAATGGCGGTAGATCCTGCAGCTTGTTTTTTTTTTTTTCTTTTTTTTTTTTTTTTTTCCAGACAAATACAGTTTACAGACTTTGGATATCACGCTCCCTGATTCTGAGCAAGCCATCTTCAATCCCATGTTAGCACAGTCCCTTGGGGTTCCTTCCCTGTGGGAAATGGGAGTTCAATTCCTGTGCAGAAAGCTCCGGTGGGTGCCCTGCAGTGGGCAAGCTCCCTCTGAGGTGTGGGCAGAAGATCTGGGATGTCACATTCAAGATGTTGTTGGTCATGTTGGCTATGCAGTAGGAAGACATCTGTACTGTGCTCCTTGTACAGGCACCACCGGAGCTGGGGGAATGTGCAGCCTCTCATCACGCATCCGTCTCTCCTCTCTGTCCTGGGCAATTGCAAGCACTACCCCGCTGGCTTCCACCACAGTACACAAGGGACCAAGTGCTGACCACACATCTCCTCCACTGGGAACCTACTCCTAAAACATTTACAGAAGCCAAGGCGTGGGAGGGATGCTCTGGAGGAACAGCTCCACCTACTTGGATGGCAAAGCTGAAACAGCAAGCTAGTACTGTCAGCTGTTGTAATGAGAACCTGAAATGGCCATAGTGGGTCAGACCAAGGGACCATCTCACTGGGGATCCCATTTGCAACGACAGCCAGGAGCAGATGCTTGGTTTAGGGAAGAATGGAGGATTCTGGCAAATGCAGAGAGATCATTTTGTGGCTCTACCTTCCCAGCAACCTGCTGCTCAGGGACTTCCTGAGCTGAAAGTTGCTTTCCCCAGCTGTGTGTTTAGCGGTCCTTGATGGTCTTTCCCCCCTTGGTTTCTCTAATCTCTTCTTTAAGCAGTATTTATTTTTGGCCTCTGCAGTGTCCTGTGATGAGTGCTGCAGAATAATTATGTTCTGTGTGAAATATGTGCGTCTTTTCCTTTGTTCGTCCTCCATTCCCTATGATGTGAGGAAGAATGAATAATCATTCACCTTTCCTTGTGCCTTTCTCCCCCAGTTTCACCGTTTTAAGGATATGAAGCTTATTTAAGCCATCTTTGTAAAACACCATAAAATTTATTCCATTAAAACAGCTGTATGTTTAAAAGCCAAGTTCAAGCCTAGTGTAATTTTTTTTAGGATTTATATGAGAGAAGAGTATGCAGGCAGCTGCCAAACAAGTGATGGCTGACAGGTTTGATTTCTACCTCTTTGTTCACTCCAGTGTGTGGTCGCTCCATCCAACCAGGTACTGAGCTTCAGTAGCTGTCAGCCTCCCAAGTACTGCTGTGTTTTACATGTCTGTTAACATTTGCAAATGCCTAACTGTATTTTCTGAAAGTCTCCGAGAAATGCTTGCTTGAGTTTGTTCATCAGCAAAGACAACTTTATATGCTCTACAAGTGGCCCTCATGTTTCACCTCTGCAATAACTCTACTGCAACAGAGCCCTGTGGTTGCTGGTGGTAAGATCTGAGCACGGGGCTTGCCCCAGGCAAAGCTCCCTTGGCATCTGCTGGCCCCTTTGGCAGGCTCCAGTGTGAGCAATAGCTGAGCTTTTATGCTGGTGTTGACCTCCCGAGTTAAATTCAGAAAACATTATCTGGCAAACCTGATGTGTCAGGTTTCAAATAAAGGAGTTTTCCAGCTCAATCCAGGTCTGATTTCCTTCCGGATAAAGGTCAAAACCCTTTGGGAACCCAGCACTTCTTGGATGCAAGTTTAAGAGCAATAAACTTTCCTCCTTACTACCAGACTGAAATACTATCAAAATCTTTCCTGTTAGGAGTGCACGTCTATCCCCACAGGGTCAGGCCAGTGCTCTATAATTCATCTTGCAAAACTGAAATACAATTTTTGATGATCAGAGTTGGACAAGGATCAGAATGGCCTGACATGTTTCATATATACTGACAAAAGTTTTTATTCAAGAAGCAGGATCTGCACAAAAAATACTTTTCCTGTACAGATAGAGCAAAATTTTAAGTTAATATGTATTACAAATGATTTACAATGATGCTGAATTAATGTTTTCTCTGAGAATCACTCAGGACTGTATCTGTAACCTCTTAATAGTGTAGAAAAATAATTGTTTTCCTGCCCACTTGAAACACAAGCCTGAAATTTTATGTGCATTATAACTGAGGTCTCATTCCCTCCTATGGTCCTCTGAACACTACTTGAAATTGACATGGTGCCTAAAATCAGCCAAAACAGCCCTGGGATTAAGAAGTGATCTGAAACCTGCAGTCGATCTCAGACAGGATATGGCTATGAAATTGGATTAGGAAATGACTTGACCTGGAACTGGAGATGAATTGCAATGTCTTGTGTTGGAAGAAGGATCCATGTTTAGATGGAGAAATTAAATTGGGATTGAGGGGAAACTCTAAACTGGGGTCAGTTTAATTTGGATTTTTGTGCCAGAGGGTGAACTGAGCAGAAGTCACATTCCTCTCTTTAATGCCTTTTGCCTTCTTGCATCCTGGCCATGAAATTTTGGGCCCTACCTCTGAAGGGATGCTCTGATGTCTTTCCAAGAGTGCTGCAGGGCAGGGGACTGGTCCCTGGCAGTGCAGAGCAGGGTGGATGCTCACCCCTGGGAATCGAGTGAGCGGTGACTGTCCCTGCCATGCACATACCACTGCTGTGCTGGTCTGTTCTCAGCTTGAGAGCTGGTCCAGATGGATCTCAGGGTTATTTTCTTTCTCCTCTACTCCATCTGTCAGCCAGGGGATGATACAGGTGGTGCTGACCCTGGGCAGTCCATAGATGACACCAAGGCTCAACAGAAGTTATTCCACTTTTGATGATCCCTTGGTGACACTTGCAATATCTTGTTAGGGTGGGTGACCAGCTGGGCTGGGAACAAAACCACTCAGTCTGCAGGTCCTGGGGTGGCTGGGCACCCTGTCCCTTGTTGCCACCATCTGAGAGGTTGTTAGCTAGATTTATAGAAACTGGGACCAAAACTTTCTGGATTCCAGCAGCCAGGATGAAGCTGGGGTGTGTGTGTGGGGTTTTTTTTCTTTTTTTCTTTTTTTTTTCTTTTTTTTTTCTTTTTTT